CGGTTTGCGGGGCCGAGGAGGGCGGCTTGCGGCGGGGTCCAGTTGATTATCTCTGAACCGCGGCGCTAGGCGTTTGCGTACCGCGGCACCAGCGGAGCAGCCGCCCCGACGGAGGGTGCCGCCCTAGGCAAACGGCTAGTTTGCCTCGCGGTAAATACGCCCCTGGTCTCCACCCCCTCCTGTAATAACCACTCACTGCTGCTCTCTCCTCTCTTGTTTTCATTGCATGTTAATGAAGTTAATGAGAGAAACACAATCCTCAAATTTTATCAGATTTGACTGCAAAAGTGGACCAGTTATCAGATTCGCAGCACCACCCAGTGAGGTGATAAAAGGGTGTGCACATCCGGAGGTACTCTGGGGATGCCCTTTATCCATAAAAGACCAGTGCGAACTCTCAGCCACTCAGAGTGCAGCTTCCGATATAAGGCCCTCCCCTTGATATCTTGATATCCAATCAGCAGAGAGCACCTGCCCAGATATGCAAAAAACACCTGCAAGACTATGATTAGATCTGGAGGAGCTTAGCTCAAAGATTCCCGGCAAACTATGGAGAGGTTTCAGGTTCAGCTTCAGGGATCTGCGGAGTGAATTTAGGAGGGGGAAGAAACCCCCAAAATTTACTTTGTTTAATTTGGATTTTTTTTGGGGGGGGTTTGTGTTTCCAGTAATTAAGCTTATATTATAAGGGGTCATTTATAAAGCATTTAGCTTTCACCAGACATTCACTCGTTGGTCAACCCGTGAAAAATAGATATATTACCCAATTGATGGTCCCATAAATGTCAGGGAGTGGATCATGAGAGAAAGAAGCAGAGCAAGGAGCCAATCAGTGCTGATAGGAGGAGAGGGCAGAGTGACAGGGAGACGAAGCTCATCGTTGTGCTGCTTCTCCTTTCACAGGCTGGGGGGGGCGAGTCCGGGACTCATGGACTCATAAGAAGTGGGTTGAATGATGCTGGCCATCAGACTGAGGACATCTAGTGGCAGAAAAAATTACTGCGGTGTAAATCTCCAGACTAGACATGTAGCCAAAAAATTAGTTTCGTTCAATTTTCATTGGGATTTTTCGTGAATTAGTTTTTTCGGGATTCTGACGAAATTCGAATTTTGGTTAGCGGTCGTCTGGGCGAATTTTCGTAGCCGCAAAGTGACATTAGACAAAAGGAAAAAAATGGCTTTTTTTTACAGTCTGCAGGAGAAGAAAGAAAGAAAAAAAAAAGGTGTGAGGTCCCCCCCCCCTCCCCCCCCCCCCCCAATTGATGCCAGACCCTTTAGGTCTGGTAGGAATGTGAGGAGGGACCCCCTAAGTTAAAAATAAAAAAAAAGTGTGTGGGGTTCCCCCCAAAATTCATAGGAGTCTCTTTAGGTCTGGAAGGAATTTTTAGGGGGAACCCCACTCCCAAAAAATGGGAACGAAACGTGGGGTCCCCCCTAAAATTCCCAACCTTCATCTGAGCACAGGCCTGGCAGGGCAGGAAAAGGGCTGGAAGGAAAATCGAGCGCCCCCCCCTCCCTGAGCCATACCAGGCCATGTGCGCTCGACATTGGGAGGATGTCCCCATGCCGATGGGGACAAGGGCCTCTTCCCCACAAACCTGACCCGGTAGTTGTGGGGGTCTGTGGGCAGGGGAGCATATTTGCATTGGGGTACTCTTTCAATTAAGGGTGCACCCTGATGCCTGCCACCCCCTTGTGAATGAGTGAGGGGTATTTGTACCCCTACTCACTCACTAAAGGGTTAAATGCAGGGTTGTGGGGAAAACGCCCTCCCAATGCCGAGGGCACGTGGCCTGGTATGACGCAGGGAGGGGGGGCGCCCAATCGTGTCCCCCCCCCCTTTCCTGCCCTGCCGGGCCTAAGCTCGGGTCAAGGGTCTGGTAGGAATTTTAGAGGGGACCCCAAGGTGTTCTTCCCCCTTTTTTGGGGGGTGGGATTCCACCTTAAAATTCCTTCCAGACCTTCTAAAAAAATTGTATGTAAAAGAGGACACGTAAGGAACTATATAGTTCAGCTGAAACTTTCCCCAAAGTTCCTCTCAAGGAAGGGGGTGGCTTTGGTCTTGTGATGATTTGACCTCAACATCTTATTTAATACAATTACAGTAAAAAAAACCATAAAATGTTTGACATACAAATAACTACAATTTAAATTAACTTTCATCAAAATATAAAGTGTGCATGAGCATAATATGTATTATAAAGGGGCATGTGGCTGCATTACTCCTACTACATATACACCGATCAGCCATAACATGATGACCACCCTCCTAATATTGAGTAGGTCCCCCTTTTCCTGACCTGTCCAGGCATGGACTCCACTAGACCTCTGAAGGTACGCTGTGGTATCTGGATGACCCCCCTAATATTGAGTAGGTCCCCCTTTTCCTGACCCATCTAGGCATGAACCCCACTAAGCCTCTGAAGGTATGCTGGATGACCCCCCTAATATTGAGAAGGTCCCCCTGTTCCTGACCCGTCCAGCCATGGACTCCACTAGACCTCTGAAGGTATGCTGTGGTATCTGGATGACCCCCCTAATATTGAGTAGGCCCCCCTTTTCCTGACCCGTCCAGGCATGGACCTCACTAGACCTCTGAAGGTATGCTGTGGTATCTAGATGACCCCCCTAATATTGAGTAGGTCCCCCTTTTCCTGACCCATCTAGGCATGAACTCCACTAAACCTCCACTAAACCTCTGAACCATACAGCTGGATGACCCCCCTAATATTGAGAAGGTCCCCCTTTTCCTGACCTGTCCAGCCATGGACTCCACTAGACCTCTGAAGGTACGCTGTGGTATCTGGCACCAAGCTGTCAGTAGCAGATCCTTAAAGTCCTGTAAGTTGTGAGGTGATCGGCCTCCATGGATCGGACTTGTTTCTCCAGAACATCCCACAGATGATCGATTGGATTGAGATCTGCGGAATTTGGAGGCCAAGTCATCACCTCAAACTCGTTGTTGTGTTCCTCAAACCATTCTTCAACCATGTGCGCAGTGTGGCAGGAAGCATTATCCTGCTGAAAGAGCCCACTGCCATCAGGGAATACCGTTTCCATGAAGGGGTGTACTTGGTCAGTAACAATGTTTAGGTCGGTGGTACGTGTCAAAGTAACATCCACATGAATGGGAGGACCCGAGGTTTCCCAGCAGAACATGGACCTGCATAAGACATGATGATATCAGCAGTCCTTAGACCACCAGAGCCCAGGGAAGAGGAGGCTGTGGGACCATTCCAGCAGCTTGGAAGGACCAATGATCAGGTGAGTAAACCTTCTTGTTTTTAGAACCCTCTATACAAAATGAGCACATACCCCTTGTTTTGAGGGGTGTAGCCCCACTGCAAGGGTATGTTTTAGTTTTCCCAGAGTTCTTCTTCAAGTTTGTCTGCACCATCATCCTACTGACTCTGTTTGTTACCAGTCCTGTCTCTATATGTCAGCTGACACAATGGGTCCACTGAACCCCAAGGCATGATGAGTAGCTGCTATATTTTAAAAAATTACAAAAGAGTTAATAACGTTCACAAAATAGAACCCAAAATGGACACATTTGTTCCAATCTAAATATACGACACTCGTATAATTTACCGGGATCTTTGCAAACCTGAAACCTCTGAAGACCCACAGACTATGAGGACCCTCCTCAGCCGGGATCACCATACCTAGTCTTTCCATATCAGTGGCTTAGTCTCCATACCCCCAAGGAGTATGGCAGCCCCCGGTGATGAACCCCTTGAAGCAAGATATAAAAAAAAATGGTACGTTGTTATTATTTTCTTGTCCTGTCTTCCAACATTTGTCTAATAAATACACTTTCCTGGATTTCATAAAGGAATAATGAATAAAGCGACCACCGATGACTAGCCCCACCCGGCTAAGCCAGCTGCAGGCTGCCTTGCAGGCCCCGTAAAAACTGCTGTGTATGAAATCGACCTTTCATCCCTTGTTCGTAGTGTAGTTAGTTGAAAGCGGCTGGAATAGCGTCGTGCTTGTGCTCCACATGAAACAGGGAGCTTTGTGGTTTGTGTCTTGGCGATGTGACAGTGTGAGCGCCTAACAGCTCTGGGGCTGTCCGTGCCTGACACCGCTCAGCACCCGAAACTTAGAGCTGGGGCCAGCTGCGATCAAGACAGATGGTTAGAGAGACGAGGACACAGCACCAATTCGAGACACAAGAAGAACGAGAACAAAGGTGGAAAAGAGAGTGAAAAACAAGCGACTGAATATCAGAGATGGACCAGAAAGGAAACCCCCAAAAATTGCTCATCATATTCTGTTATATCTTTAGTTTTGAGACGGAGAAAATCTATTCACCTAGGGTGAAAGTTACCCGGGTGTCGCTAGGGTTCTAAAAGACCTGGGACACCCCGAGGACACTGTCAAAAGACGAAAAGGTGTCACACACAAAATGTACCTTGGCAAATGCACCTTGGTGAACGTTCCATGGCAAATGTACCATGGCACATCTACCTTGGCAAACATACCATAGCTAATAAACCTTGGCAAATGTGCTACGGCAAAATTTTCAGGGCAAACCTATAATAGCACATGCACTATGGCTAGTCTACCCTGGCAAATGTACCATGGCAATAACACCTGAGCAAATGTACTTTGGCCAATTTGCCATGGCAAACCTAGAATGGTAAATATACCAAGGAAAATCTACCTTGGCAAATGTACTATGGCAAATACCATGGCAAACCTACCAGGGCAAACCTAGAATGACAAATATACCGTATACAGTGACAAGCCTAGAATGGCAAACCTAGAATGGCAAACATACCATGGCTAATGTACCTTGGCAAATGTTCTATGGCAAACGTATCAGGGCAAACCTAGAATGGCAAATGTACCATGTCTTGCAGTTGACCTCCTTCTGACCTGCATTTGACCTCAATTCTAAGCTGCATCAAGCTGCTTTTGCCATCCCATTGACCTGGACGGGAAGGGAAGCAGTTTTGAGGTGAACAAATGCTCATAGACACAGACTCTAATACATATTCTAAGCCTTAGTGCTGAATCTCTGCTGTCACGGGCAGGAGGTTCCAGTACTAACATCCACCGTGGGGTGGGGGTTCACCACCCCAGCCCCTAAAACCAGGTTCCACTTTAATACAGTCCAAATGTGAAATCTGCTATCCCATACCGGTAAAATGGTGCCTAGGACTTAAAGGGGCATAGTTATAAAAGCAGTGAACCTGACATTTTAGGGACATTCACTGCAGCTGAATCTTTATGGCTTATGACATGAATTGATTCCCCACCAGTGTAAGTCACACTTACTGATTTCTAAATATGCCCCTAAGGTGTGCGTCCCTGTTGGGTGTTCTACTGCTATCTAGGGCTATGCTAGAGATCTCCCCTCTTGCCCCGGTGACAACCTCCATCTACATGAAGCCTTCAAATGTTTCTGTTGGTTCTTTTTGCTTCATTATCCTGATCCTTGTCTCCAGCCTGACATTCCGGTTACAACTTTGACCTATTCTGTGGTTCATGCCTGAAGTATAGCAGCCACTTCCTGCCTCCTGCACATTCCTATTGGCCATTGAGGTAGCTCATCAAAGTGATGAGCCAATAACAATGAATGGGGTGTAATGTATTGGCAAGCTCTGACATTACCTGGAACCCCATTGGTGTGACCTGGCAATTGGCTGTAAAGGTGGAACCTTCAACTGCCCACACTTTATACCAGGAGTAGTTTTTCTTCTGACTGCCTTGACTCAAGGTTCAAGGATATTGGTAGGGCCCAGCTTGGTGTAGGTGACACATTCCTCTAGGGGGTCAAGACTACAAGCTGTTTGGGATGCTGTAGGAATGAAGGACTGGGGGACATGTACCCCCTAGGCCAACCCAAATAAAAAAGTCTGGGTTAGTGTCCCAGAAAGGAGATACTCCGCCAATCAAACCTCAATCAGAGTGGGACCTGCAGTCAATGACAACTGAACTATCTGTTCCATGTTCAGATCTTCCATCGTGGGGCCTGGCAGGGGAAAGTCTCCTTTTCAAGTGTTGGCGTGCTTTGCAAACTTTTGGGTGAATGTTGCCGCCAGAAATAAGGAAGAACTTATAATGCAGCACATAGCCTTTGCTTGTGACCCAGGAGAGCGGTGATGTCACTCCGTCAGTCATGTAACCGTCCTCAGGATCAGCAATTGACTGCTAGGCCTGAGCACTCTTACAGGGGAGCAGGTTACATGCTCCCCCATACTTGGAAGTGGGGGGTGCTGTCACCAGTGGTGATGGAGGAAGTGGGAGTGGTGAGGGATCCCAAGCAAGGGTAGGATGGGGGGTTGTGGGAGGGGCCTTTGCAAAGACATTTTAATTTTCTGTATAGGTTTTCCAGACGACCCCAACCTGTCGCCATTGGACACCAATCATCATCATTGTACTAAGTCAATAACAGGGATGTGCAGATATATTTTCATAAGTTGCAGAGTTCTTTCATTCTTTTTGCTTACTCTCTTTTCCTAAAATAGTCTCCGCTGTCTGTTTAGCCGTATAGTTCTCACCGCTGAGCAGTGCCAGGAGCCGCCTGTCCCTTCCCACAGTCCCGCCAATTCTTGTTCAGAAAATAGATATTAACCCTGAGTTCTCAGTGTCTATAATACCAGTTAGGCCATCAAATTCTCTACCAAGAGATCACAGGGGACACAAACTAACTAAAAAGAAAATGAGAATGTTTAAGTTACTTTAAAGGACAGCACCCTGCAATGAGATGTAGGCACAAATCCTCCATATGCCCCGTACCTACTGTCTGCCATCGTGCACCTCTTCAAGGCTGGGTTCACACCTGGGCGTTTTTCAGCGCTGTTCGAAGCGCTGAAAAACGCCCTACGCCCAAACAAGTACAGGAGCTTCTTTAGGGCGTTTTTCCGCGCTTATCCATTGGTATTCCTGAGTGTGGCTCGAGGTTAACAAAGCGGTAACCCCGAGCCACACTCGGGAATACAGCGTAGGACTTACCTTGTCCGCGATCCCCGCTGTGTCCTCCGGCCGCCGCCGACTTCCGGGTTCCGTCCCTTGCGAGCGGCCGCATCGCAGGGGGGCGGAACCGGCGGGAAGTTTGAAAGTTAAAAAAGAAAACCCGAAAAAAAAGATAGAGAAAATAAAAAGAAAAAAATTTAAAAATCATACCGCCAGGGACGTATAAAAACGAGCGTCGAACGCGCGTTTCACTGAACGAAAAGACGTGCTAAATAACGCGCAAAAAAACAAGCTGAAAAACAAGCAGAAAAAAACGCGCCTATGGTACGCCCAGGTGTGAACCCAGCCTAAAGCCCCAGGACCCTACAAACCCAAGACATGCTCAAGTACTTTTTCGCGCGTAGGGCGTTTTTCAGCGTGACAAAACGAGCTGAAATATGCCAAGGTGGGAACCATGCCCATAGCAATCAATAGGATTTCACGTCTTGAGCGTTTTTCAGCGCTTCGAACAGCGCTGAAAAACGCCCAGGTGTGAACCCAGCCTAAACACGGGGTCGCGACCCACTAGTTGGGAACCAAGGTCTTAGATAGTCCTCAGAAGAGCAGGATTCCCTATTGGAAGGTTTCAACTCAAATACAAGTGAAGAAATTGCCACAAAATCAATAACAATAACAATAATAATAATAAGAAGAAGAATAACAATAATAATAATAATAATAATTGTATTCATGTTTTCAGGGTTATTTTTATTCCCGTGTAGAATGTCTGCAATGTGATAATTTGCTTAGAATTCTACATATCATATCTATAAAATCTCAGGTTGTGTTGGGGGCCCCGGGGCCCCGGCCCCCGGCTATGTACATTGCTACATCACAAATCTTACATTGTGATCAGTGCGCATGTCTTGCATGCAGTTGATGAGGGAGTTGAAGCAGCACTTTATCTCTAGTGACTCCCTCCGATCACAATAAAGCCTTTTTTATCCCAAATCCAGCGGTGGGGAGAGCTGTCATCTAGCCATAGAAGTCCGCCCTGGGCCTGCGTTAACTCTTACAATGCTACAATCAGTGTGGGATGTCACCCACTAACCCAACGCCTGGACCTGCACAGACATGAACGTGTTAAGGGGCATGGCAGAAAAAATCCATAGAATTCCGGTGACACGGAGGGGACAGAGTCACTTTAGAGTTTCAGGAACAAGAGGAAATACTGAGAACAGAACCGAGTCCTCATCTCAATCTCCGGGACCATGGGTGAGTGGAATTATCTCTGTCTGTATTCCATCTATCTGTCTTCTATCTATCAGACCCAAGGAAACAAGTCGTCGCCATGGCGATGGTAGAGTCAGGATTCTGTGTTGTCAGATTTGGGATTTATAGAAAGTAGAAGCTTTTAGGAAATGATTGTTCTAGAATGATCCACTTCCATCAAAACGTATCATTTAGCTGAATGTAATGATTGTCACCAAACGCGTCCCGATCCGGAGGTCATGTGACTTCTCGGGGTACATTAGAGGCGTCACCGAACTTTATATCAAATCTCTAAATAGTTCTTCATATTTCCTTCATTCAAATAATATGTAATTTATGCATTCTATCTATCTATCTATCTATCTATCTATCTATCTATCTATCTATCTATCTATTATCTATCTATCTATCTTATCTATCTATCTATCTATCTATCTATCTATCTATCTATCTATCTATCTATCTATCTATCTATCTATCCCTATGTATTATCTATCTATCTGTCTATCTATATGTCTCTATGTATTACTCATCCCTATGTATTATCTATCTATCCATTTCTTTCTTTCTTTCTTTCTTTCTTTCTTTCTTTCTTTCTTTCGCTTGGTGCCAAAACAGACAGCGCTGCGCTAGGGGGAGGCTGAGGAGCCTCTCACCTAGAAAAGTGGAAGGCATGCAGCGACCCGCTGAAAATGGGGTCGCGACCCACCAGGTGAGAACCAAGACCTTAGAGAGTCTTTGAGAAGGAATGGCGGCACGGTACAAGCAGCCAGGAAGATCAGAGCCGGCTTAGCCGGAAGCTCTTTTACTGCTTGTTAGGAATATGTCAATACTTTCATGCTCATCATCTGGGGGACCGGGGCAACGTAAGGCTTCATTGCTAAATATTATACTGATATGCGTCTTACCGAATATTCATATACTGATCTCCTTGTATTGTAATAACTGACATGGCGAGAAGCACAACAAACGATACAATTGATCGAGCGAGGTAAGAGAAATGGATACAACTGGCTGCTGTAACTTACACATTTGGAATACCATTTATACTGTTACTTTTATGGCTTTTTTATTTAGTTACTTTTATAACTTTTTAATTTTGTTACTTTTATGGCTTTTTAATTTTGTTACTTTTATAACTTTTTTCTATTGTTACTTTTATAACTTTTTTATTTTGTTACTTTTAAAACTTTTTCTATTGTTACTTTTATAACTTTTTTATTTTGTTACTTTTAAAACTTTTTCTATTGTTACTTTTATAACTTTTTTATTTTGTTACTTTAAAAATGTTTTTTTTCTGCTGTTACTTTTATAACTTTTTTATTTAGTTACTTTTAAAACTTTTTAATTTTGTAGTTACTTTTAAAACTTTTTTATTTTGTTACTTTAATTTTTTTTTCTATTGTTGCTTTTATAACTTTTTTATTTCGTTACTTTTATAAATTTTTTAAATATAATCTTTATTTCACAGTTTTTTAAAATCTTCACGACAAAGAAA